AGTGTAGTCATTCTGAACACAAACTGAACACAATTCTGAACTAAACACATGAGTGTCTGAACAGACAAACAAACAGTCAGTTCTTTGCACTAGTCTCTAAAGTCTCGATCTGAAGACATCATAGGTTGTCCTGGAGTTACACATCCAGATGTTCGTCCTTCTTCATGAGGAGAATCAGCTTGACGATTGGACGCTTGTAGATGCTCCCATCACTGTACTTGACGTTGACGACGTTTGGCGTTGTCATCCACGACATCTCCCACAGCAACGTTGTCTCGGTCTTTAACCCACTTCTGACGAGGAGATAGCTTGTGGAGGTTCGTCATCCAACGGCGCCAGAAACTGTCCACCATCGAGTTACACAACTCGCGACGTTTACGGATGTTCCCAGCGTATTCTCCACACGGCACCTGTGTACTGTGCAGACTTCCTCGGCCGATGAGGAAGTGGTTCGGCGTTATCGGCGGTTCATCAAGTGGAGACGAGGACGAGGTTCCAATCGGACGGCTGTTCAGCAGACCAGCGATCAACGAGAAGATCGTCTCCCACTCAACGAAGGTGAGTTTGTCAGACTGTATCATGTGGCGCATCGACTTCTTGACTTCTTGGACCATTCTCTCGACTAGTCCCTGGTGATGAGGGCCACCAGGAGGTCCGAACTTCCACTCGATGTTGAAGCGTTGCGTCTCGGCTTGGAGTTGCGGTCGATCTAAACGTAGCTGTAGGTCACGGACTTCGTTATCGGCCCCACGGAAACACGTGGCGTTGTCACTGACGATGAGTGCGGGTGCTCCTCGGGTGCTGACAAAACGTTCGAGAGCTTGCAGGAAGGCAGACGTAGTCAGGTCTTGTACACAGGTCAGGTGTACGGCTCGAAGAACGGCGCAGGTGAAGACGGCACAGTAGCCCTTGGTGACGGTGTTACGGTTCAACTTGACGTTCACTGGTCCCAAGTAATCCACCACCGTAGTGTGGAACGGAGGACTGAACGGCATCACTCGAAAGGCTGGCAGATCGGCCATCTGCTGGTCCAATGGTCTACCACGGAATCGTCTGCAGACCTTACAACTGCGTACAACTTGTCTGGACAGGTTGACGTCTCCGAGAATCCAGTAGGTCGTCCGGATTTCTACGGCCGTCCTCAGGTGTCCACCATGCAGTGCGTGTCTGTGTCTCTCTCTGGCTATGAGTAGACTGATGTGGCTCTTCTTCGGCAACAGGTACGGGTGCCGTATATCGTATGAGAGTGGGGCTTTATGGACGCGACCTCCGACTCTGTAGACTTGGTCCTCCTCGTCTAGGAAGGGATGCAGCTTCATGATGTGGTGATCGTCGAAGTTGACGTCTCTCTGTGCATGGCGGATCCAGTACATTTCAGCTTCCTTGATCCTTCGTCGCGATGGAAACTTGGCAAGTTGAGACGTCAGTTCTTTCACCCACTGGTTCTTTGGTAGGTCTCTCAGTGACATGACACGCGCGGTGATCATCACAAGACGTGTCCAGCTGGAGAACTTCTTCGGGTCCACGATAACCATACGAGTGTTAGCGGTCGTCTTAGGTGTGGAGTCGGACTTTGGCTTGGGCGGGTGAGCGATCGATTGACCCCTATATCCGTACTGTGGATGGTGTCTTCTCGGTTGACTGGAATACTTCTCGGAGTCTCGGGCCAGTAGACCGGCGGTTTCCTCAGGAACGATGGACCATCAATCACCTTCTTCATCTCGTTAGCGTCAACACCACGGGAGACGAGGTCTATGGTGTTCTGGTTGGTGGGTACGTATGCGATATCGTCGATGGGATCAAAGTCCGTAGTTATCTCTCTGACGCAACATGCTACATAGGACCGGAAGGATTTCCTCTTGTAAGTGATATCTAGGCTTCTTCTACCATGATCATCAAACGAGACAGGAGGAGGACAGCTTGGAGTTCCTTGCGTGGAATACTTGTCTGTTTCAGTGGAGTGAGACGTCCTCGGGCACAGACAAACGTCAAGTCAGCATCGTCGTCTTCACGTTCAGACCATCTCAACCAGATCCCAATTCCCATGGCGTCCTCGGAGGCGTCACTCGCACCATGGAGTGAGACTGTAGGCAATGGCGATTTTCCACGATACTTCTCTGGGATGAGACAGCGTTCGATCTTGATCGAGTTGACGTCTTGTAGATCACGTTTCACTGCTATCAAAGTACCATGCAGCTCACCGTCAGGGTTGATCGGAGTGTCCCAGTCCATATCGAACGTCCATAGTTTCTGGAGCAGTATCTTGGGTCGGATGAGGATTCCTGAGAGCATACCAAAAACGTCGTAGTAAGAGGCCGTCTTCTTGTCTTGTCACCGTTCCTCTCCATAGACTATACCAGCTGGTAAAACCGTTCCGTATCGTC